CCGCGGCGGCCGGGGAGGCGGCGGAGGGAGGAGGGATGCGGGGAAGAGACTTAACCCCTTCCCTGCGGGAAGATGGCCACCGAGGCCGGGCCCCAGCTGCAGTCCCGCCTTCCTGCCCTCCGTGAAGGTCCCACCACTAGGACTCCGCTCAGGGGGCGCGGCAAGAGGAGCGAGAGAGTGGGGAACATGGAAGAAGGGGCTGGAAGGAGAGAAGAGAAGCTGGCGAGGGGAGAGGGAGGAAGGGAAGGGAGGAACAAAGGAAACGAGACTGGAGGGAAAACGGATTGCTTGGGAGAGAGCTCTTTCCTCTACTCCCTTTTCCCTACACTCCCAGCAATAAAGCTTTCCTTAGGGGAATACGATCACCCTCACTGGGGCGGCCTGAGTGTGTGTGTGTGTGTGTGTGTGAGAGAGAGAGAGAGAGAGAAAGAGAAAACGTGAGAGGAGAGGAAGAGAGAGGAAGAGAGAGAGAGAAAGAGGGAGAAAGTGAGACCACTTGACGCTCTGAGGACCACAAAGCCTTGGTTTCTGTGTTCTGGCCATCCCTAAACCAGGCCCCACTTTCCGCCATCCAGCCTACTGGCCTGGGCTAAGCCCCAGCCCCAGGGGACCTCTGGCTAGTCCTTGGGGTCAGGCCCAGCCCCAGAGACGGCAGGAGGGGAGACTGTACCTCAACCTCCGCCTCTGGTGAGGGTCAGCAGAGGGGACCCGAAGGCCACCTTCCTCCTCCTCCTCCTCCTGGCTGCCCCCATGCTGCTCCCAGGCCAGGGCAGCTGTGCACCTCCCTGTTTGTGTTGGGATGTTTCTGTAACCCCGACACTCTCTGCTGCTATCAAGGGGGCTGTTTCTCTGTGACTTTGTCTTTCTGTGTCACTTTTGCAAACACACCCGAAAGAGACAAATGCAATAGATGGAAGCAAAAAAAAAAAAAAAAAAAAAAAAAAAAAAAAAAAAAAAAACTAGGACACCAAAATAATGGTGCGACCTTGGGCAAGTCACTGTACCTCCCTGTCCCTCAGTGGCCTCAGAAGTGAAAGGAGAGGCTTAAG